ACGGGTGCGTATCCATCTAGTCATCTATCCATCTGTCTATCTATATATGTATGTACATATATATGTGTAAGCAAACATGACAACCAGAGGTAAATCATACGTATGCGCACCTCTACCTGAAAAGGTACAGCCGCAGCGGCTCTCTGCACCTCCATCTATACACGTGTGCGTATCTATATATATATATATATATATATACATATGTATGTGTATATACATGTGTGTATGCACTTGTCCGTACATGACAACGAGAAGTAAAACATACGTATGCGCACCTCTACATGAAAAGGTAGAGCCACGGCGGCTCTCTGGACTCCTACCTGTACTGGAGTGTGCGCTCCGCTAGCTGCAAAGGCGCGAAAGTGGCGCACACAACCAAAGGCTGTATGCCTGCAGATAGAGCCTGCGTATATATATTAAACGTGCAGATATCACTTCTATAGGCTTGTAGGTCCTCAGAGAATGTTCCGGCTCGTAAGCCCATGTGAAGAGGGGATAACTGGCTACGTACAAAGGCATACATATATATATATATATATATATATATATGTAAATATGTGCTGTAGGCTTGCAGCGAGACATACCTGGTCACCGCAGATATCGCTTCCACTAGCTCGTAGGGGTGTATATATAGATATAGATATGCTCCACGCCCGTAGAGAGACATACGCGGACACCGCAGATGTCGCTTCCATTAGCTCCTAAATTCTCAAATAAAGCCCCATCTCGTAACTCAATGTGAAGAGGAGAAAACTGGCTGCATACATATATACACGTACACATATATATATATATATATATATATATATATATATATATATATATGTATATATATGTATATATGTATTTGCGCTATGGTTGCAGATACAGGCCGAGGCGGACACGCCACGCATCGCTTCCAAAAGCTACGCAAAAAGGCCAGGCTCGTAAGTCAATTTCAGACGGAGAAAACTGTTTTCCATCATTTGCGCGCGTCCTCTGTTGCGCATACATAGTGACAGTCGCACGTCCGCGGAGAATGAAGTGTCTCTCATACAGACGGACGCACATGGTGTCACGAAGTAACAATATTCCTCATTAGTCCTACATGTACATGTACATATGCATGTATACGTATGTACGTGATTATATATAATATATATATATATATATATATATATATATATATATATATATGTAGCATATATGTGCACGTAATGTACGCCATCAAAACACACACGCATCCGCGGGGAAAAACACTTCATGTGTCATTCACACGGACTCATATACTGTTGTGAAGAAGTGATAATCCTCATCAATCTTATATATGGGTATGTGTATGCGAGTGTATATATGTATATATACATATATATATATATATATATATATATATATGCATGCTGAATATGCCTTCATACCACACACGCGTTCGCGGTGAAGAATGAATCGTCTCTCATATACACAGTCGCACATGCTGCTAAGAACAGATGATATACCTCATTATCCCACATACATATGCGTGTCTCTGTATGCATGTATGGAGATGTTTGTATATGAACTTACACATACATATATATATATATATATATATATATATATATATATATATATATGCATGTTATATACGCCGTCAAAGCACACACATTCCGCTGGAAAGGGAATCGTCTCTCATATCCAAGGGCTCATGCGCTGTTATGAAGAAGTGATGCTCCTCATAAGTCCAACCGACATAAACAGGTATATACATGCACGTATATGTGTATAGGTGGAGACATATATAGATACGTACATATATGTTATATATTCCGCAGTCACACCACACACACGTTCGCGGTGAAAGATGCACAGCCTCCCATATGTAGGAACACGCCGATGCTGTGCTGGGATCACGTGTTTCTTGTTCTCCCTCTCTTTGCTGCCTACTGAAGAGGGTTAGAACTTCATTCATTCTTTTCGCTATTGGTTTCCAAACACCTGCGCGACTGAGTGTATCGTGGCTCTGTTATTATGCGCTTGAGCTGCCTGTAAAAAGAGGTCCACTTCACTTGGTTTCGGCTCTCACTTCCCGAGGCACCTTTTCTCACGTGGCTTTGTCATTCTCGTCTTTCTCTTGTGCTGCTTATACAGGGCGAAAGTTTGTCATTCTCTTTTTTCGCTACGAATCTTCAAAGCACCTATCCAACTTGACTTTGCCTTTCGTTTGCGCTTGTGCTGCTTGTGGAAGAGTATTATTTCATCTTATTTTTGCTTCGTTGAACGATTCCGTCTTTCCATTGCGCTCTTGATCTGCAAAGCACATCCTTTGAGCTGGCTTCGTATATCTTGTGTTCCTCTTGTGCTGCTTGCAGAGATAGAGTTTTTAATGTTTTCTTCGCTACTGATGTGCCCAGCAGTTCCTCTGAACTGGATTTGTATTCCTTATTTTCTCTTGTTCCGCCTACATAGACAGTCAAGTTTTCTTCTTTTTTTGGCTAGAAATAGCTGAAGACTTCTACATTTTCTGGGTTGGCTTTGCAATTCTTATTTTTGCTTGCCCTGCTTCTGTAAAAGGAATCTCCTCGTTCCTTATCTTTCCCTACGAAGCTTCAGAGCACCTTTACTGAGTTGGCTTCGTGTTTCTTATTTTCTCTCGCGCTGCTTACGAAGAAAAGAACTGAGTGTCGACGTCAAGACTTCATTGTCGCTTCCAAATAGTTCCAAAGCCCATTCTCTGTCTGCGTCAGTCTTGCGCTTCTTATTCTTGCCAGCTGCTTCTAAAAAAGACTTGCTTCCTTTCATCTCCGCTTCTAGACTTCGAAACACCTTCTTTGTGAAGTGGCCCTGCATTCCTGTTCTTTTATGCTGCATATCTTAGGGAAGGAGTTCTTCGATTTTTCGGCTACTACGAGTGTCAGAAGAATTTCTCCATTTGTTGGCTTCGCATTGCGTACTGGCTCCTGGGACACCGCTTATCGAAATGATGTACATCTATTCAGTTTGGCTTCTCTGGGTTTGCCTCGTATTTCGGAGGCTTCTCTTGTGCTGCATACGTAGAAAGTAAGTTCTTTATCTCATTTTTCGCTATTTACAAACGCCAAACAGCCTTTTATCTGAGCTGACATTGCATTCCTTCGTCTCTGCTGCTGCTCGTATAGGAGAGAAATATTTTATATTTTCTTTCAGTTACTACAGATCTCAGAGGTAACACCGTCCCCGCACACTTGGCTTGGCGTATCTTATTTTTTTTCTTAGGCTGCTCATAGAAAAAAGTTACTTCATTTGAATCTGCTGCCGGCCTCCTCACCAGCACCGTTCCTGAGAGTAATTTCTGCCTTTCTTATTCTTTCTTGGGCTGCTTATCGAAAAGGCTCACCTTGTGTCACCTTCACTGCGAGCGTCTTGAAGGCACCTTCATTAAGCCGATCAGGCGTATCTCATTTTCTCTCAAACTATGCTTGTCGAAAGAGAGTAGTCCATTCCGGCTTTGCTACAAATTTCAGCAGCACACCTCCTTGGCGTTCCTTATCTTCTCAAAAAGCATCTCTTCTCGGTTTCGTGGCCACTCCAACTACTAATCGAGAATGCGAAGTTATGTCCATGATTATTGCTTCCCACGAAGTCAGCAACAGATAACTTTGCTTTCAGTAGATCTTCCACCTTCACTCCTTTGTCTCTCTGTCGCTGTATGAATTAGCAGCAGAGAGATGCGCTTCGATAGATCTTCGTGCTGTTGGAACTTCTTTCTAGCAGCACATGGGCCCGCGCGTATGAGAGAAGAATCACTCTTCAGCGGGAATGTGTGTGTGCTTCTACGGCGTACATAACATGCATATATATATATATATCTACATATACTTCTATGTATATAGAGAGAAGCAGGAAGATATATTAAAGACAAATCTGTCTGTTGCTCCTTCATACACGAACAGAAGGACGAAGGGAAGGAGAAGGCTCCTTATGCTTCTCTATTTTGTCTCTTTGTTGCTGTATAAATCAGCAGCAGAGAGATTTGCTTCCATCAGATCTTCCTGCTTCTCTTTCTCGTCTTTCTGTTGCTGTATGAAGTAGCAGCAGAGAGATCTGTCTTCAGTAGATCTTCCTGCTTCTTTTCTTCCTCTTCCTGTTGCTTGTCTTCCTTTTGCAATTCCTATTACCCTCTCAGACATTGAGCTGCATATCTTGTCCTCCTGTACTACTCATTGTAAAAGAGAATATCAGTTTATGCACTGAGTAATTTAGCAGCAGGAAGCGTTGACTTTGCTACGTCTTCGTGATTTCCTTCTTTGCCCTTCTGTTGCTGTTCGAATTAGCAGCAGCAATCAGGCTTGAGTTCAGTAGAACTTCCTGCTCCTCTTTTTTGTCTTTCTCTGGGTGTTCCTCTTCTGCTGTTCCTCTCGTTTCCTCAAACGCCCCCTCTGTCTTTCTTATCTTCTCAAACTGCTTATCGAGAAGGAAAACCTCAGTCCATGATCATCTCTTTCGAAGGAATTAGCAGCCGCAGAGATATTTGATTCCACGAGTTCCTCTCCCGCCTCCTCCTGCTTGTCTTCTTTGTCTTTCCGCTGCTGTTCTTCCTTTTGCAGGTCTCATTTTTCTTGTTCTTCCGTTCCAGCCTCTGCATTTCCCAACTGCTGCTGCTGCTGTTCGTCCTCATCCTCCTCCTTCTCCTCCTTCTCCCTATCCTCTTCCTCCGCCTTCTTCTCTCCCTTCTTCTGCTTGGCTTCCTCCTCGCCTTCACCCCTCTGACTTCGCTGATCTTTCTCTCCCCGCAGCGCCTTCTCCTCTACGAGAAACTGCTCTCCTTGCTGCTGCTGTTCTTCGTCTTCACCCTCCTGCTGCTGCTGCTGTTGTTGCTGCTGGCGAAGAAGCAGCAGCTGTTGTTGGTACTGCGTGATTTCTTCTCTGGCTGCGTCAGAGAGGTGGACATGATGGAAGACGGCAGATCTGTTGTTTCCTTGTAAGGAGTGCGGAAGGCCCCTATACTGCAGGACCGGGGGTCCTTCATAGAAATAGGAGCCGCTGCCGCAGCAGCGGTCGAGGTAAAGAACAGCAGCAGCAGGGAAGGAAGAAGATGAAGAAAGGGAAGGAGGCGGAGGAGGACTCTGAGAGACGCCGACGCTGATAGTCGGCAAACGAAAAGTCTCGACGTATCTTCCGTCCTTCAGCGTCACGCCTTCCACGAATGGAGGTACACGAGTAACTGGCCGAGAGCGGAAATAGGGAAGCATTGCTGCTGCTGCTGCCTCTACGCCTCAAGTGAAGTGGATAGTCGGTGCAGAAACGAAAAAAGAAGAGAAGAAGGAGACGGAAGAGGAAGAGGAAACGGAGGAGGAAGAGGAAAGCGATGGGAGAGACGAGGGCAAAGCGGACGGGAAAGACGACGAGGAGAAAGAGCGGAGGAAAGAAGAAGACCCCAGAGAAGAGGAAGGAGGGAAAATAGTGGTAACTATAACTCTATCCTCCCGAACAGAGACAGGCTGTGCATAACCAAGCACCACGACGTGACTATCACACTACCCCGCTTCTGCGTAAAGCGGGCACTGGTCGGCGTCGCCGAAGCACATGTGAGAGAAACCAGCTCTATGACGAAACTACCACTTTATCCTCGGGATTACTGCCAAGTCCTGCATGAACCCGCTCTATGACGAGACTGTCACTACTACCCACCTTCGTGTGAAGCTAGCACTAGTCGATGTAGCCGCAGCGCTCGTTATAAGGAAACCGGCGCCAGCTTCATAACAAGACTATCACTCTTTTTGAAGAACAGGGACAAAACCTGCACACATCGGCTCCATGACGACGCTGTCACCTTACCCCCTCGCGCACGAAGGCACGCCCAGCACATAGCAGCTTCGTGAGAAGACGATCACTACCTCGATCAGGTGACCGCCGCTCTCTCTTTGCGCACACAGAGAAGTCCAGAATACAGCAGCTGCAGGACGAAACCACCATACTACCCACTTCTACATCATGTTAGCAGTGGTCGACGTAGGGGCAGCACCCGGGTAGCAGTGTACACAGCTGCACGCCCAGGGTATCACTCTATCGTTGCGAATACCGACACCTCCTACAAATCGGAGGAGAAAAGTAAGCAGGAACCGCACATGCGTGCTGCAGGACATGTCGCTAAGGGATGTACGGTTTCAGAGTTGGTACCGCTGAAGGGAAGACGCGACACCCTATGGTTGCGAATAACGACAGGTCCTACAAGTCGGAGGAGAAAAGTAATCGAGAACTGCCTATGCGTGCTGCAGGACATGTCGCTAAGGGATGTACGGTTTCAGAGTTGGTGCCGCTGAAGGGAAGACGCGACACTTTATGATGAGGGGAGGAGCAGCGGGCATTGGCAGCACCATGACACGCGGTAGCACGGAGAGAGGGACGTGAGTCCCGGCAAGCAAGCGTACGGACAGCCCGGGGCAGAAAATTAGCACGACTGGGAAGAAAACTCTGTCAGATCGCGTGCGTGTGGATGTGCCGAGAGGAGTGAAGCGTAGGGCTGGCGGTTCGGTGCAAAAGACATGGGTATCAGGCATGATAGGGACTCTCAGAGGATAGCCCGTCTCTTGTTAGCGGAGCTGTGCACAGACAGCCGCAGACATACATACATATATGTGCATGTATGAATGTATGCGTATAGCGCTAGCGTGAGGGCGCTGGGAGCCTTCCGATGCCGAAGCACGCGGCTGTCACAATGCGTGGGAGCCTCAGCAGTGCGCTGACCGACGAGCTCCGGTACGCGAGAGAAGCGTGCGTGACCGTCGTGGTATGTATACATCTCTATTGACGGAATATGACACCTATATAGCGTCAGACGTGGCTGCTGCGGATATGCGCGATTCGTATGCGACTGCTGGCTCACGTGTGGGGACAGCGTCTCAAAGGGACGCTCCCGCGTTGGATGTCTACCCGTTGCAGGAACACCCTGAACAACCTCATTGCGACGTGTTCAAACGGGACTCACACCGAGAGGGGTTCGTTTGCCGCATCCACCTGAGGTCGCATGAAATGCTTCTTTGTTCTGTCCAAGTTAGCTCGTGCTCTGGGCGTATGCCTTCAGAAGCACCGGCATCCTTACCCTCTGTGCGTCCAGCGCCTGATACCGCGTTGGAGAGTGTAAAGATACGTGGAGTGGGCGTAAACAGTATCAAACATATAGATGCTCATGCTCTGCACTACAGTGGAGTCGCAGCGGGTGCGGACAAGCATAGACAAATACATGTTTGTTTGTGTACACGCTACAAACACGGCTAATGATTTGCCGGTGAGCACGCGCACACACCTGCACACGAAGGGGGACAAGACCTGAGAAGTGTACTTTGTGGGGGCTGGAGAAACCCAGCAGCCATGCAGCAACCCCGCCAACAGCAGACACCTGTGCATACTTTGGTGCAGCAGCAGCATACCGGCAGCAAAAGAGGTGCTCTGGAGACGGCAGCACGGTCGCGTATGCCGGCGGTGGCACGCCGGCGCAGCAGACACCTTACAGCATGGCGTCGGGCGCTGCTGTGTTTCGCCGCCACAGCAGCACGTTAGGGCAGTAGTGTCGTCTCGACAAGTAGTGGGCTGAATGACAGGCGTGGCCACCTGCGTCGAAGACTTACCTGTCAGACGACCTCCAGTGCTGGTCCGATTGTGGGAAAGTAGACGAGCGAAAGCTGAAGTATGCTCCTTCCAACTCTTACCAGGGTCTCTGGGCGCGAACAACGGCAGCGTCTCAGCATGAGAGCTGAGGTGGGCGTCAGTGCCTATCAATATCGGCTACGGTAGTTGCGCTGCAGACCAGTTAGTGCAGCGGCGCGCGTCCGGCGGGACACTACCGCGGTCTTCTGCGTCGGGATATTGACCAGGAGGCGGTCCGCTTTGACAAGCGCTGTGCCTGTGTATGCACCGTCCCTGCTTCAGGTTCTGCGGCTTTGTGCCGTCGCGCTTCCGAGGGGCCTATACAGTCGCCGTTCAGTGCCGCACGGACCTAAAGGCTGGCGTTTGTCCCATGCACCGCGGTCGGGCTAGTGTGGTTTGTGTGCCGTGCTCGAAGAGGCAAGCTGATGCCCGATGCCAGCAAGATATCCCTCGCCCTGTGGCCCCCGGGCGGGTGGTGTCGTCAGGGCTGGAGTCGCGGCAGCGCCGGCGCGCGAACGTACACAAGCACATGATCACCTGCGTAGACACCTCGTTAGAGACAACAGTGGTATACTCTGTCGGCGCGCCGGCGCACGCCAGCTCTCCATCGCGTATACGGACTGACACGTGCAGGTTGTGCTAACGCCAGACCCTCACCGTTCGTGCAGCCACCGCAGGCACAAGAGACGCGTGTACATAGCCGGGACTGCAGTCTGAGCCCTCGGAGCCGAACAGCAGCTGTAGGCACGGCAGCGGCGTCGCGCGTGCCGGCAGCGGCGTCGCGCGTGCCGGCGGCGGCGCCCAAGTGCACCAGAGACAGCACAACGCGGCGTCCCGATCTGTTGCCAAGTGTTGCGACAGGAGCTGCATCGCAGGCCACACCCGATCTAGAGAAGACCCGGCTGTCAGACGATCCCTGGGTGTTCTCTGCCTGCGGGAGAGCGGCGATGAGGAGGCTTTATAGAGGAGCGGCGCCTGCCCTCTCGCTTGCGGTATTAGCGATGCTGCAGGTGGGGTGGCACCGCCCGGACCAAGCTGGGCCGTTCCTTGCCGCACTCGCTGCCCCTATTGAAGGCGCAGACCAGTGGCAACGCGTGCGCGGTCAGGAGGGTAGACAGGGGGGCGGGGCACCTGAAGAGCCAGGTTTTCCTGCGGGTCCCGGGGATTGGAGGCCAGAGGTTGCCTCTTCGGCGGACAGCGCAGCGCCGGCTGCTCTTCCTGAGAGGACTCCTACAGGCGCGAGGGAACGTCCTCCCTGTCTTTCTTCGCTCCCAATATGGGAGACGTCCCGTAACGCCGCAGATTCTACCGCGCAAAATAGCGTACTCCGCCTGCGCGGTGCCGTTGGAGGCAACATTATGCATCAAACAGTGCCTGCGGGTTTGTTCGCCTCTGATCACGCACTTGTGCAAGACCCACGCCTTCTCTTTCAGTGCGTGCGCGCACTTAGGTGGTGCTACAGCAGTATGGTGGCACGCGGCCTGCTTCGTGCCTTGCCAGGGGTACTGAGGGAGGTCAGTGCTTCTTCTGCCGAAGGTTTTCTGGATGCCTTAAGCCGGAGCAGTAGAGGTAGCTGGCGAACGTCCCGCATTGCGCGCGTGCTCCGGCGTATGACGTTGGCCTCACCTCTAGTCCATACGATGCCTCCGCTTCTCGCACCTGACGTCCTCCATGCTCAACCCCTGAGGCCACCTGACAGCAGTGCAGATGTGTCTGACCCGGCTGAGGGCGACGAGCCCGGCGCTTTTGGGCACTGGTCTATAAGGCATCTCGGAGTGGCAGATCACCAGCTAATGCCCGTTGGTCAGCAAGGACATGGACCGCAAGGAGGGCAGGAGGATGAGGATGATGGCGCAGAAGAAGAGTAGCAGCCGAACCCAGATTAGGCTAGTAGGCGACGGCCCGCTATGGTATGCTTTTGTCCATGTGTAGCGGCCCATGTTAATGTATCGACTCGCTATACACGGGCACGTTGGAAAATACCAGCGGGACCCACAGATGACCTCGATTATCCCGGTGAGCCAGAGCTCGCCTGTGACTTGCTGAAGCGTGCTGGAGCTATACCTGGCTTGCGGACCTTCGCTAGTGGGAGGCTGGGGCGGCTTTTCCCGCTCGCGCTCTTTTCGGCCTACGTCGTGTTTTCCCCACAATGCCGCACTACCGATACTCTCACTTTCACACACACGCGGCTGGCGGTAAGGAAGCATCCGCTTTTGTGGACACGGGGCTTGGTTTTACACGCGTGTTTGCCCTGGCGGCCCCAGCGACTTGCTGGTCCGCAACGGCGGCTCGAGATTGCTCGTGTTGGCATCGTTTGCTGAGCCATGGAGTGTACGAATGCGTCGGGGCGGTGTCTGCCGCTGAACTTTCTCTCACCAGTACTACTGGTTCTACTGTCACCGCTCCCGCGTGTGTTTTCGGTGCGCAACGATGAGTGGGCTGATGAGAGAGGGAATTATTTTCACACTACCGTTCCCGTCACCGGCGAGCAAGAGTCACATCACGTGGGATCAATCAAAAGGCCCCGCGCTCCCTCTCGCGGCATGCTGTGGGACATGCCTGGAGTCCCCAGGCCACACCCGCTCTTACGTTCGAGCCAACTTGTTTTAAGAGCGCTTCTGCTCTGCTGCATTCCGGTAGAGCTACCATCTACTCCGCTCGGCGGCCAGGCCTCCAGCAAAGAGCACATGTTCCCTCTATGGCTTGCGTTCCGCGTAACAAAGCGCTTTTTTTCCTGCGCGGATGGTGCGTAGGACGGGGGTGTCTTCTTCTGCGTTGTGTGGCAAGGCTCCTAGAGCGAGTAGGGCCCTAGCTTGTTAGTCTGCGGTCAGCTTCGCTGCCTCTGCGCAAGGCTTGGTAGCTGTTTGCGCTTCGTTTTGCGTGGGAACAGAGATGGAACACCCAAAGAGCCTGTGTGTAGCCGCAGCAGCAGCAGGCGTGAGAGCAGCACGCGGCGCTGGCGCGCGGGCCGAAGCAGGCGGACACGGAAGACCGGAGGTAGAGCGTCTGGCAGCACTTCTTGCAGAGGGTGGCTTCGCAGGGACGAAATATGGACGTACTGGGGCAGCGTCTAACAACAATACGACAAGCCCGAGCGGAGAGAGCCGCGTGTCTATCTGTGAGAATGCAGTTCTGTGCTGTGAAGGGCGCGGAAAATGATCTTCTGATCATCGGTGACCCTCTGAATGTTGACAGCAAGGGCAACCCTTGTGCGCCACATATTCGTGCCGGGACCGGTGGTCGCAGTGCGGGTGGCTGACACCCCCGTTTGTCGGCACAAAGGCTTTCTATTTTTCCGTTAACGGCGTGGGGACCAAGCACGCGACAACACGATCCGCTTTACGTAGGGGTCAAGATTTGTTCGACTGCTGCCAAATCGTAAGCGCTAAGGCTCAGATGTATTCTTAAGGTGTAAATGGAGCTACGTGCTCCGTCAGACGCCGTCCCTGGAATCTAATACAGGAAGGCGCCGGTGTACCTTGTGTATATATATATATATGCGTATAGACGTCTTCTTGTGTGCGCGCGTAATGGCGGTGGCACGCATCACAGAAGGGAAGCACGGAATGGACGACGCTTCTGGCTGTCTGGGTACATTTTTATCGCCTCCAGAAGGCCCACAACCCCGTGCAGTCATCATCCGTCACTGCGGTCTTCCAGACTGCGCAGGCCCCTTCTACGTGCACTTCATACTGCGCTTCGGCCCCGCGCGCAAAAACTCCCTGCATGTGACTCCTACGCTATGCGGTTGCCCTTGTCTGCGTATTATACAGCAGCTGCAGGACTGCAAGGCTGTCCTTGTATGCTTGCAAACAAGGACAAGCTGTGCGTAAGCCAGCTCCGTGACGCGGCTATGATACTACCCACTTTTGCGTGAAGGTAGCAGCACTGGTCGACGTCGCCGGTGAACACGTGAATAAGAAATCAGCTCCATCACGATATCTCTCTACCCTTGCATAAGCGAACTCTGTGGCCAGACCGTCATACTACCCACATTTGCCTGAAAGTAGCAGTAGACGACGTAGGCGCAGCACACGTAAAAGAGAAGGCAGCATCAGTTTCGAGACTAGACGACCGACCTATTTTGCGAACAGAGAGAAGCTCTGCATCCATCGGCTCCAGGACGAGGCTATCCACGTACCCTTGCGCACGAAGACAAGCCTTGCATAAACCGGCTCCGCGAGGAGCTTATCACTCTATTCTCGCTGGCAGAGACAAGCTCCGCATAGAGTAGCTCGGTGAGCCACGAGACTGTCGCTGTACCCTTGCGCACACAGAGAAGTCCAGCATAAACCAGCGCTACGACGAGACTATCATACTACCCGCTTCTGCCTGATGTTAGCAGTGGCCGACGGGGCGGCAGCATCCAGGTAGAAGAGAAAACGACTTCATGACGAGAGTATCACTCTATCGTGGCAAATACTGTCCGGTCCCTACAAGTCGAGGAGGATCAGTAGTTGGGACCTGCATACGCGTGCTGCAGGACGTATCGCTAAGGCATATACGGTCTGTTTGCTATCACAGATGATTTCTCTGCGGGAGAGACTCGACACTCTATGATGAGGGGAGGAGCGGCCGGCAAGCAGCGCCGTGACACGCTGTAGCAGTGGGAGAGGGACGTGGTGTCCTGGCAAGCACGCGTACGGACAGCTCGGGGCAGAGAGTGAGCAAGCCTGTGAAGAAGGGTTGGCCAGATTGCGAGGATGTGGATATGCGAAGAGAAGGGAGGCGTAGGGCTTGCTTGGCGGTGCGAGAGACATGAGTACCAGGCACAATAGGAATTCTCAAAGGATAGCAGTCCCCTTGTGAGCGGAGCTGCGCACAGACAGCCGCAGATATATATGTGTATATATATATGCATATATATGTGTACATGCACGTATGTACGGATATAGAGTTAGCGTGACCGCGCGGAAAGCATTGTGCTGCCGAAGCACGCTGCTGTCACAGTGCAGGGGCGCCTCAGCACTGCCCTTACCGACGAGCTCTGGTACACGAGAGGAGTTGTGCTTGACCGTCGTGAGTATGTGTACATCCCCACTGATCGAAAACGACGCCTATATAGCGTCAGACGTGGATGCTGCAGATATCGGCGTGTCGCACGCTGCCAGTGGCTCACGTGTGTAGGCAGTGTCTGAAGTGGACGCACCCGCGCTTGATGTCTCTTGCTGCAGGGCAGCCTCACTCCGACGTCTCCACACGGGGCTTACACCGAAAGTGGTTCATGTGCCGCACCTACTTGAAGCCGCGTCGAGTGATACGTTGTTCCTCCCTTCTTACGCACCGGCTTCTATACCCTCTGTGTGTCCAGCGCCTTTTTCCATGGTGGAGTCTGTATACGTACGTGCGCTGCGCATAAACGATACCGTACATACAGATGCCCATGGTGTGCATGCCCGTGAACTCGCAGTGGCGGCAGACAAACGTAATCAGACAGGTGTTTGCATAGATACACGCTATAAACACGACTAAAGCTAGTATCATTCGCCGGCGAGCACGCGCACACACCTGCCCACGAAGGTGTACAAGACCAGAGGAGTACACCTTGTGCGAGCTGGAGGCTCCCAGCAGCCACGCGGTGACCTCGACAGCAGCAGACGCCTGAGCATACATTGGTGCAGCAGTGGAGTAAGAGCAAAACAGTTGCTCTGGAGACGGCAGCGGGGTCGCGTATGCCGGCGGCGGCACGCCGGCGCAGCAGACATCTTACAGCATGGCGTCAGGCGCTCCTGTATTGCGTCGCCGCAGCAGCACGCCAGCGCAGCAGAGACCCGTGGACAAGTAGTTGGCTGCATGACAGGCGTGGCCCGCTGCGGCGAAGACTTACCTGTCAGACGACCCCCAATGCTGGTCCGGTTGTGCGAAAGCGGACGAGTGAAAGCTAAAGCACGTTCCGTTTATATATTTTCAGCGTCTCTGGTCGCACGGTGCAACAACGACGGCAGCATCTCAGCATGAAGGCTGAGGTGGGCGTCAGTGATTATCAGCATCGGCCACGGTGTTTGCATTGCAGAGTAGTTAGTGCAGCGGTGCCCTTTCAGCGGGACACTACCTCCGTCTCTTGCGTTAGAATACTGACCAGAAGGCGGCCCTCTTTGACGAGCCGTGCGCCTACGTATGCACCGTCTCTGCTTCGGATTCTGCGGCTCTGTGCTGTTGTGGTTCTGAGGGGCCGATAGGGGCGTCCTCTAGTGCCGCAGGGAAATATGGACCAGCAGTTACCCCGTGCACCGTTGTCCCGCTACAGTAGCTTGTGTGTTGCGCTAGAAAGGGCAAGCTGATGCCCGACGCCAGGAGGGTATCCCTCGCGCTGTGGCACTCCGGGGTGGACGTTTCTGGACGGCGCACCGCGCCAACGCTCATTTCTAGTCTGGAGGACCAGGTGTCATTCCGTGTTTGTCAGCACCGGGGGCGGTAGTGGCACTCCGGCTGGTTAGTGCAATGAGGCTCGTTGCGCCGAACACAAGTGTCTGACTTTGCCACGCGGCATCGAGCAGCAGGCCGGCTTCCCGACGCGCGCTGTGCCCACCTATGTGTCGTTTTCGTTTCAGATTCCAGAGGGTCGATGAAGTCCCGCGTTCGGTGGATGCAGACCGTCGCCGTGCACCGCCGCACCCAGACTGGACGAGTGGATGCTGCATGCGGCGCTTTAGGCATACCGTACTTTGTTTATGCGGCAAGAAGGGCCGACCTGAGGGTCCGAAGTCCGGCAGGTGTTCCTTGCCCTGAGGCCTCCCGGGCAGGTGAGGCTGTCGGCACTGTTGCACTTGCGGTGACTGTAGGGCGGGAAGGCTATCAAGCAGACCCATGTTCTGCAGCTCGGGATGGCAGTGGGTGCTGTCCGCAGACAAGAGACCGGCTCCCCCGTACCCCACAACATTGTACACAGGTTTCGACCTTCATGCGCGTGTATGCCCTTTTTGTCCTCGTGCTCATTCAGGCTCTACAGAGGAGCGGCGGCCGCCGTATCGCTTGCGATACTAATGATGCGGCAGGTACGGTGGCCTCGCCTGGATCCGGCTGGGCCGTTCCTTGCCGCACTCGCAGCCCCTATTGAAGGTGCAGGCCTGCCGCAACGCTTGCGCGGTGAGGAGCGTAGACAGGAAGGCGGGGAGCCTCAAGGGCCAGGTCCCCCTGCAGCGCACCAGGATTCGAGGCCAGACGTTGCGGTTTCGCCGGACAGTGCAGCGCCGGCTGCTCTTCCTGAGAGGACCGCAACAGGCGCGAGGCAACGCCATCCACGACATCCTGCGCTTCCACTATGGGAGACGTCACGTAATATCTCAGATTCTGTAGCGCTAAGTATAGCGTACGCCGCCTACGCGGGGACGCTGGAGACGGCATTATGCATCAAACAGTGCCTGCGGAGTTGTTCGCCTCTGATCCCGCACTTCTGCAGCAGCCACGCCTTCTCTTTCAGCGTACGCAAGCGCTTACGCGGTGCTACGCTAGTATGGAGGCACGCGGCCTGCTGCATGCCTTGCGAAGGTTATTGAGGGAGGTCAGTGCTTCCTCTGTCAAAGACTTCACGCGTCTCATAAGCCGGAGTGGTAGAGGTACTCGAAGCTCTTCCGCCGTTGCCCGCTACTCAGTCATATGACCCCAATGTCACCCCTAGCCTATACCATGCCTCAGCTTATCGCAGCTTGACGTTCGCCCAGAACCACGCGAGAGGCGAGCTGACAGCAGTGCAGTTGTGCCTAAACCGACTGAAGCTGATGAGCCCGGGGCTCGTGGGCACTGGTCTACAAGGCATCTCGGAGTGGCAGAGCGCCAGATGATGCCCGTTGGTCAGCAAGGACATGGACCACAAAGAGGGCAGGCGAATGAGTAGGCTGAAGCAGTAGAACAACAGCAGCCAAACCCAGATTAGCCTGGTCAGCGAGGGCCCGCTATCGTATGGTTGTACGTATGTAGCAGCCCAGGTCAATGTATCGGCCCGTAACACACGTGCACGCCGCTAAGAAACAAGCGAGATTCACAGATGACCTTGACTATCCCAGGAAGCCACGCTCGCATGAGACTTGCTGAAGCGTGCTGGAGCAATACCTGGCTTGCGGACCTCCGCTAGTCGGAGACTTGGGTGGCTTCCCCGGCCGCGCTCTTTTCGGCATACATCGGGTCTTCCCCTCAATGTCGCGCCACCGATACTCTCGCTTTCACACACACGCGGCTGGCAGTAAGACAGCATTCGCTTTTGCAGACACGCGGCTTGGTTTTACACGAGTGTTTGCCGCGGCGGCTCCAGGGCCTCGCTCTTCCGCGCCGGCGGCCCGCGGCCGCTCGTGCTGGCATCGTTATCTGAGCGATGGCGTGCACGGATGATGCGTCGGCGGTGTCTTCCGTTGAACTTTCTCTCACCATTAGAACTACTTCTACTGCTACTACTCCTGCCTGTGTGTTCGCTGCGCGACGACTGGTGGCCTGATGACGGAGAAAATTATTCTACCGTCTGCCGTCACGGGCGAGCAGGCGTCAACCCGAGTCGGATCATTCAGAAGGCGGCGTGCTTCCTCTTGCTGCATGCTGCGACACGTATAGTACCGTCCCTAAGCCACACACGCTCTTACGTGGTAGGCAACTGCGTCTCCAGCGCGCTTCTGACACGCTGGCTACCGGAGGAGCTACAAGCTAATCCGCTTCGCTGCCAGGCGTCCAGCAGGAAGGACCTATTCTCTGTTTCACTTGCGTCCCACGTAACACCACGGTAGTTCTGCGCAGCGGGTGTGGTAAGATAGTAGTGTCTCCTGCGTTGTCGAGGTAGTCACCAACGCTTCTACGGCGCGTCGGGCCCTAGCTTGTTAGTCTGCGTTCAGCTTCGCTGCCTCTGCGTAAGACGAGGTAGCAGTTGCTGCTTCTGTCTGCGTACGACCAGGAACGGGACCCTTAAAGGGCCTGTGTGTAGCGGCAGCAGCAGCAGGTTGGCACGGGGGCCGGAGCAGGCGGGCACGAATGACCGGAGATAGAGCGCTGGCAGCACCTCTGCACAGGAGGCGTCGCAGGGACGAAAGGCGGAGGTAGTAGGGTAGCTTCCAACAACAACACGACCAGCGCGAGTGAAAATAGTCGCGTGTGCATGTGTGTGAGTGCAGTTTTATGCTGTGAAAGGCGCAGAAGCTGCTCTGTATGTCGACAGCAATGGCAACACACTCGCGACATGTCCGTGTCGGGACCCGCGGTTGCATTGCTGGTGGCTGACCCCACCCGGTGTCGGCACAGATGCTTTCTTGTAGACCCTACAGCGCGCGGGGCCGAGCGCGACGACACGATCCTTTTTACATAATGGTCAGGATTTGTTCGACTGCTGCTGGCTCGTACGCGCTAGAACTAAAGTCTGTACCCAAGGTGATGAACTGGAGCTGCGCACTCCACGATCGTCCCTACGTAAGGGCCAGGGTTTGTTCGACTGCTGCTGGCTCCTAGGCGCGCTGAAACGTGAAACCTGTGCTTCCGGCGACGGACTGTGGGAGCTGCGCACTTCTTGAGATGCGGTCAATGAAATCTGATACACGAAGGCGCCCGTGTGCATCTTATATATCCGTAGAGACGCGTTTTTGTGCGCGCGTGGCGGCGGCGCGCATGCGAGAGCAGCGCGGGGCGGACGACTTTTCTGACTGTTTGGATACTGTACTCCCGCCTCCAAACGACCCGCACCCCCGTGCTGTCATCACCCGTCACTCCCGTATGCCAGACTGCGCAGGCTTCTCCCCCCCCCGCGCGGGCACTACGCTTCTATAACGTCTGCAAGGAGGTATTGCGTGTGACCGCGACTCAAAGATTACACATACATGTACATATCCACTTATATAAATATATATACGTATACATACGTATACATGCCACGGCTGCCCTTCTATGCGTTTTATACACCTGTGACTGTGAGCCTCCGTAGCTGTGAGGCTGTCAAACTATCCGCGTGAAGGCAGGGACGAGCTCCGCGTCGTAAGCCAGCTCCTCCGTGACGAGGCTATCACACTGCTGCCCACTTTTGCGCGGAGGTAGTAACGCTAGTGGGCGTGAGCTCAGCACGCGTAGGAGAAGACCCAGCTGCATGACGAGACTGCCACACTCCACTCAAGCACGGGGAAAAGTCCTGCATATACCAGCAGCTCCACGACAAGACTAACATACGTGTATGTATATATATATATATATATATATATTTATATACGTATATATGCATTATACGCTACTCCGCAGTTCTTTGTCAAGTAAGCAGTGGATGAAGCTGTTGCCGCAGCACTGCAGGACCGGACGAAACTGTTACTCTATCCTCGCGCCCAGGGACAAAGTGCCCTGCATAAAGCAGCTCCATGAGGAGACTACCACTCTAGTCTTGCGAACACATTTCCACGGTGAATGCGAATTGCGCCTGCGAACCCATATATACATATACATACATTATGCATAATGTATATGTATGTGTTTGCACATATGTAGATACATGTGTGCGTGAACACCTGACATAAAGATGCATCATTGACATATATAGTGGAGTCTTGCTTTTCTGGCAAGGGAGATGCGGCGTGCGGCTGCCACCGTATCACGACTACCGTCAGAAAGGTCAGTAAGCCAGCTACTACTGCAGGCTTGTGTTCTATTCTGATGATTGCGTCCGGTGTTTTTGCGTATACGCCCGAGGCGGGTATTTACACCTCCGTATGCACTATATATGAGACTACAAGTAAAACATACGTACGCGCACCTCGACACGTAAAAATACACTCACAGCGGCTCTCTGCACCCTTATTTATACACACGTGCGAATCCATTGATTCATCTATCCATCTATCTATCTATATATATATATATATATACACGTACATATATATGTGTAAACACACATGACAAGCAAAGGTAAAACAAACGTACGCGCACCACTACATGAAAAGGTACAGCCGCAGCGGCTCTCTGCACCTCCATCTGTACACGTATGCGTGTCTATATATGCACATACAGATGTATATACACGTATATATGTACATGTACGTAAGTGACAACGAGAAGTAAAACATACGTATGCGCACCTCTACATGAAAAGGTACAGCCACAGCGGCTCTCTGCACCTCTGCCTGTACTTATGTGTGCGCTCCGCTCGCTGCAGAGGCGCGAAAGTGGCGCACACAACCATAGGCACTATGCCTGCAGATGAAGCCTGCGTATGTATATCAACCGTGCAGGTATCACTTCTATAGGCTTGTGAGTCCTCAGAGAATGTCCCGGCTCGTAAGCCACCAATGTGAAGAGGTGATAACTGGCTACGTACAAAGGCATATATACATATATATATATATATATATATGCTTTCTGCTTGCAGCGAGACATACGTGAACACCGCAGAAATCGCTTCCACTAGCTCGTAGATTCTCAACTTAAGTCCCGTCTTGTGGCGGACGAACCCCCCTACGCCGTACGTAAAATACGTAGATTCACGAGGATATATATATATATAATATATATATGTATGTATATGTTTTCCAAAGAGAAGGATACTGCTGCGTACATATATACATATGTATATATATATATATATATATACATATATATATATATATATATATATATGTGCTCTATGGTTGCAGATACAGGCCGGGGGCGGACACGCCAGGCATCGCTTTCGAAAGTTATGCAAAAAGGTCCAGGCTCGTAAGTCAGTTTGAAAAGAAGATAACAGTTTTCCATCATTTGAACGCGTCCTCTATACGCGTACATAGTGACACGCATATGCAGTCAAATTACTCGCGCGTCCGCGGAGAATGAACTGGCTCTCATACAGACGGACGCACATGCTGTCACGAAAAAACAGTATTCCTCATTAGTCCTACGTGTACATGTAGATATACGTATGTACACGTATGCCCGGAATTACATATATATATATATATATATATATATATATATATATATATATATATGTAACATATATGTGCACGTTATGTATACCATCAAAACACACACGCACCCGCGGAGAGAAACAGTTCCTGTGTTAATCACGCGGACGCACATACTCTTATGAAAATGTAATACTCCTCATCAATCTTATATATGCATATGTGTAGATATATATATGTATATATATACGCATGCTGGATATGCCTTCATACCACACAAGCGTTCGCGGTGAAAAAATGAATCGTCTCTGATATATACGGTCACACACGCTGCTAGGAACAGGTAATATTCCTCATTATCCTACTTAAATATGCGACTATTTGCATGTATGTGTGCATATGTTCGTATATGAACATATATGCATATATATATATATATATATATATATATATATATATATATATGCATGCTATATACGCCGTCGAAGCACACACACGTTCCCGCTGGAAAGTGAATCGTCTCTCATACCCAGGGGCCCGTGCGCTGTTATGAAGTGATATTCCTCATAAGCCCGACAGATATAAACAGACATATATATGTACGTATATGTGTATACGTGGAGACATATATATATATATAATATATATATATATATACATATACATATACAGATATGTTATATATTCCGCAGTTACACCACACACACGTTCGCGGTGAACGATGCACAGCCTCCCATACGTAGGAACACGCCGATGCTGTCCTGGGATCACGTGTTTCTTCTTCTCTCTCTCTTTGCTCCCCACTGAAGAGCGTTCGGACTTCATCCACTCTTCTCGCTATTGGTTTCGAGAACACCTGCGCGACTGAGTCTATCGTGCCTCTGTCATTATGCGCTTGAGCTGCTTGTAAAAAGACGCCCGCTTCACTTTGTTTCGGCTTCTACTCTCCGAGGCACCTTTTCTGAGCTGGCAGTGTCTTTCTTATCTTTCTTTTGTGCTGCTTATATAGGGCGAAAGTTTGTCATGCTCTTTTTTTCATTACCAATTTTCAAGGCACCTCTCCAGCTTGACTTCGCCTTTCTTTTGCGCTTGTGCTGCTTGCGGAAGAAAAATTATTTCACCTGATTTTCGCTTCGTTGAACGACTTCTTCTTTTCATTCCGCTCGCGATCTGCAAGGCACATCCTCCGAGTTGGCTTTGTATTTCTTATGTTCCTCTTGTGCTACTTGCAGAGAGAAAGTTCTTCATGTTATTTTCGCTACTAATCTGCACAGCACGTTCTTTCAAATGAATTTGTATTTTCTATTTTCTCTTGTGCTGCTTACATAATGAGCAAGTTCTTCATCTTTGTTTGGCTAGAAACCTCTGAAAACTTCAATATTCTCTAAGTTGTCAATATTCTCTAAGTTGGCATTGTATTTCTTATTTTCGCTTGCGCTGCTCTCAGGTAAGCAATCTCTTCCTTTGTTTTCTTTCCCTACGAGTCTTCAGAGCACTTTTTCTGAGTTGGCTCCGTGTTCCTTATTTTCTCGTGCGCTGCTTGCAAAGAAAAGGACTGAGTGTCGCGACAACACTTCATTGTCGCTTCCAAAT